ATGGTAGTTGGTGACTTTAATGCACACCACGATCTTTGGCATTCAAGCCTGTCAAACAATCGTAGGGGAACAGACTTGGCTGAGCAGATAGACGATTCGACATTCTGCACAATGAACGTCGACGCACCCACCAGGATTATGGGCAGCTGCAGCACCTCGCCATATATAACAATTGTAAGCTCTAGTCTAATAAACAGCATAACGGGCGACCTATGCTGACCTTGGCATCGGAGCATCTGCTCGTAATCATCTAGATTGATAAACCCACCTTCTTTGCTTCCGCGGATCAAGGGTTCTATGCTAACTTTTCTAAAGCTGATTGGAAAGGCTTCGCGGAAGTTACTGAAAGCACCTTCTCTGCTCTACCCACACCAACCGACGTTTACGTAGGTAAGTGTGTGTCACTGCTGCTGCAGCCCGCTTCATCCCAGCAGGATGCATTTCAGACCCCCGTCCAAATTTTCCCGATGAAGCGGCTGTCCTAGCCGATGAGCGCAACAACCTTAATCAGGCCGATCCCGGAAATCCCCATATTATGGATCTCAACACGGATATTTGGCAACTTGTGAACGTACATAAGCGGAAGAAATGGGAAGAGCATCTGAAGACCTGTAACTTCTCGCATTGTTTGAGATCACCCTCCCTCCCCGGTACCGAAGACACTAGGGGCCCTTCTACTACCACACTACACAAACCACCTGACCCCAGCGAATCATCAGCATGGGTTCCGTAAAATGCACAGTACAACAACAGCACTTAACGCCATAAACACTCAGATAACTCGGGGCCTTAACCGAAACCGCCCCTGTGAGAACGGTTCTAGCAGCGCTGGACCTATCAAAGGCGTTTGGCACCGTGTGCCATTCCACGCTACTAGAAGATATAGAGGCCTCCTCTCTCCCACAGGGACTTAAACGGTGGTCGGCGAATTATGCGAGTGGTCGAAATTCGTCAGTAATCTTTAGGGATAAAACTAGCAAGCCGAGAAAAATTAAACAGGGGCTACCACAGGGTGGTGTCCTATCCCCGCTATTGTTTCATTACTATATTTCGAGCTTCCTCAGCCACCAGCGGGAGTCTCTATTGTCTCTTATGCTAACGACTGTTCGACAATGGCGTCAGGGAGTGGAATTGACGACTTGTGCTCAAAAGTAAACCCCTATCTTTCCGAGATTTCTCGCTTCTTCACTGCAAGGAACCTACGAACTCCTCGACAACCTTATTCACCACCTGGACGAAGGTCAGCTTTCAGCTGGGCATTCACGTCGATGGCAAACCAATTCCGAGGATGAATAACCCAAAAATCCTCGGAGTTACCTTCAATAGTCTGCTCTCCTTCTCGGCGCATACAACCGCAATTGTCAACAGAGTACAGAGCCGCAACAAGGTCTTCAAGTCGCTGGCCGCCAGCACTTGGGCAAAGACAAAGAAACGTTGTTGACAACATACAATGCAATTGACCGTGAAGGTGGAGCAATTAAAGTCTATTCTACGCCAAAATAATTTGTCAACAACAGGCTCAAAAGCAGAGCTCATTCAAAGGCTAAGTGAATTCATAGGTACAGACGAAATTGTTGAAATAGAAGAGCCGCCCAATGAGAGCGGAACAATTCAAGATAAATTAGACCAACTACGAGCGATGATAAACACAATGATGAGTGCTATTGCTGTAGCGCAGGTGCCTGTTGCACAGCCGCAGCGAACAGATATACAAACACCGACGACAACACAACAAATATCAGTTAATGACAATGAACGTATGTACGAACGAGAGCGAACACGAACAGCTTCAGTGAAAGAGATTGCCGAGACTCTGCCCGATTTCAATCCATATTCTGAAGATTCGGTTACTGTTGAGCAGTTTATTAATCGCGTGAACTGTGTGCTATCTGCTTACAACAATTGGGATGAAAAATGTATCATGTTAGCCGTGTACAGCAGAATGTGTGGTGTAGCAAAGATGTGGCTAGACTCTTCGCCAGTGTTGTTTGCCAATTGGAATGAATTCGCGAAATGTTTGAAAGAAGAATTCAGTTACGAAATGAACGAAGCAGACATAAACTATAAAATGTGTAATGCCAGTAGGAAAAATGACGCGAGTGTTACTGATTATTGTTTCCGTATATGCATGTTAGGTCGGCGATACAAGTTAAGCGACGCCGCTATTATTAAATATACGCGAGATGGACTTAAACATCGTGAATTGCAAACGGCAATTGCTGCAGTGAAATTTAATTCGGTGAAACATATGCGGGAGACTATTGAAAACTATGTAACTAATTCACGAGCGCAAAGCAATAAAACGAGTATACAAAACGAAACTAAGCAAAAGTTTGAACTTAAAAACGATAACGCTAAACCAAGTACTAACGAGAAGACAAATAAAAGGTCGATTACTTGCTATAATTGTTCGGAGGTAGGTCATATTTCTAGTCAGTGTTCGAAGCCACAACGACGTCAACCCTGCGTTGATTGCAGCAAAGTTCATGGCCGCGGTGAACCAACGAATTGTGGAAAGAAAACTGTGAACGTGCAACGTGCAGAAATTAACGAGTTCGAGAAAAACTTTAAAAAATCAGTAATTGTTAATGGAGGAACATTTATCGCCTTACGAGTAGTCAGTGTCACATGATTCGTAAATCTGTTGCAAACAAATTGCCAAATATTCGCGAAAATTGTGAAATATCAATTAATGATATTTGTGGCGGTACGCAAATGGCTAATGAGAAAATTACATTGCTAGTAGAAATCGACGAGCTGGAACGTGAAATAGTTGCCCACATTGTAGACGAAGATTTTATAAACGCTGACCTATTTTTGGGTCAAGACATTTTTAAAAACACGAGTGTAAGTGTCGACAATGGTAATTTTAAATTTGGTAAAAATTTCGAGAAACCGGTGTGCGTTAAAAATTTATACACGGAAAATGACGTTAAATGTACTGATGATAAACTAAGTAAAAAGCAGTTGTTAGACATAATCAATGAATATCGTGACGTATTTGCAAGTGATTTGAACGAAATCGGTAAAACAAATGCAATTAATATGGACATCAAATTGGATACGGATATTCCATCTTCTAAAAAACGATATTATTGAAAAGTCGGATTCGGCTTATGCTAGCCCGACAACGTTAATAAAAAAGAAAGAAGATGCTCATACAAAAAAGGAAAATTTTCCTATGCCTAACGTCGAAGACTTTACAAGAAATTGCGAACTTTAAATACTACACGACACTTGATTTAAATTCGGGTTATTATCAGGTGCCAATAGCCCCGGAAAGTCAAAAATATACAGCGTTCATTACCACTGAAAGACTATATAATTTCAAGTGCATGCCATTCGGGCTTAAGAACGCGCCAGCTGTTTTTCAACGGCTTATGGCAAAAATCAAAGACAGAGTTAAACCAACTGATATGATTCATTACATGGATGATATCCTAGTAGGCAGCCATACCATTGACGAAATGTGTGGAAAAATGAAACGTGTTTTTCAAGCTTTGGCTGATTCTTTCACCAAATTTACGATAATTCGCGCTGTCAAGAGTACTGCGACTAAACACGTGCTAGCAGTCCTTGACGAAGTAATCAGCTACATTGGAGTCCCTCAACGCTTCGTAACGGATCGTGGAACATCGTTCACATCCAAAGAATTTGCTAAATACTGTAAAGACTACGACATTAAGCATATTCAAAACGTAGTTCGGACGCCACGAGCGAATGGTCACGCCGAACGAACTAACAGAACTTTGTTAAGCATGCTCCGAACGACGACGCAATCAGAGAAGAAATGGGACGACAAACTACGTGATATCCAATGGGTTATCAACACAACGCGCAACCAAACGGCAGGTCAAACCCCATATGAGTTGGTGTATTCATTCAAGCCGCGCGATATACTTAAAAACAAACTAACAACGATTCTACACGACGGTAACTCACAAGACGTTGATATCAGTGATCTACGACACACCGCCGCGGATCGAGTTACGCAACAACGAGAGAAGGCTAAAATACGTTTCGACCAAAAACATACTGCGCCAACGCAATACAAAGTCGGTGACTTGGTCTTAGCCGAGAACGAACCAGCCAGCACGGGCGAATCACGAAAGTTGGAGCCACGTTACAAAGGCACCTTCGTTATTAGCAAAGCCCTTGATCGAGATCGATACGTCATAACTGATCTTCCAGACTCTTCACGCAAACAACGTCATTACACGTCTATATACGCTTCAGATAAGCTTCGACCGTGGTGCAATCTGCCAGCTCTCGACGAACAAATTAACGAGGGTGGCATAAGTACCGATGACGAAGACAATTTATCCACTTATATTGATTTAGCAGTGGCCCAATCTCCCCGGGATCAGCCTGGTTTAGATGGTCACACTAGGTTGCTTCTGGTGGGAAGTTGGGTAGGAGCCTCTGTGACGACTNAGTCGGGTACTTTGCGTTTTTGTGTTTGTGGTTGAGGAAAATTATTTTTTTTTTACTGTTTCTGAAGCTTAGTTACACTCAAGTTTTGATTGTTGGTAGGTACTTCAAAATTCTATTATTTTCAACTTTAAAGCACTTGACTCTAGTTGCTATTCATGTCTACATTTTCTTTTCAGCGTCGTTGCCCATCGGCAACCCAATTGAGGTTGCGTGGCTAACCATTATCGACCCATAAGCTAGGCCTGTTCGAAGCACGTAATGAAAGCGGCAATACTGCAACATTGATGAAATTTTTCAATACTTTTGCAAATTCCCAACTGATAAAACATTGCTAGAAATTCACACAGAACGTGATACTTTAATAATTCGCGCAACGCTGCAGTTGTGATTGCATCTCGAACAAGCCCCTACAACTGCAGCAGCTGCTACCACTCTAATAATAAATATTTTTCAAACCGGTTCAAATATTAAACTACTGAAAATGTAACGAAATTCGCATACAATTTTCTTTATGCTGGAAATTTAAAGGACTGTCGAAAAAAGCAACAAAAAGGATGACTACTCACCTGCACTCTCAGAGGATGTATCATTAAGAGTGGCAATATGTACGACCTTGTGGGCAGCACTTCCGACAGAGACATTCCCATTTTGGTAACTGCTTGACACAGAAATGCTGCCAAGTAACGATGAAGTGGAAAATGAAAGGAAGCTTGCATCATTTCGTCCTGTTTAAAAAATAGATATGTAGCAATATCAAACTAATAATTGGTCTTAAGTATGTATTGAAAAAGCATGCTTTAGAATTACAGCGCAGTATATATGTATGTACAGTATTGGACATATCTATAGCACCCCCCTTTCAAAGCTATATTGTTTGCCACTTATGTTTAGTTATTTGTTTTTAAGAATTTTCAAT